AGTTTAGGTGGTGAGCTGAGTCTCCGTGCCTAAATTTTAAGAAAGCTAAAGAGAAATAATAACTAAAGGACTTAATTCCCCCTCCAGGTTCTGCTAGTTAATATCTTCTGTTTCCGATGATAAAGTATTGCTGTGCCTTGATACACAGCTGTTGGAGCGCAAAGATACGGTGCTTCTTGTAGGATCACTGCTTTGAACCCACAGCTGAAGTTTTACAGTTGATTTCCCCCTTTTTGTTCATGCTGCCATTATAATGAATTAAGGGATAACGGGAGCGTGGGTCTTGCTACACCATTTACACTGCTGCACGTTGAGATGTGGCTGTATGAAAAGCATGGGAGTGGCCAGCAGATAAGAAATTGTTGGATTTTCTACATTGCGAGCTTAAAATAAAAATTGTTAGGTGTAGACATGAGTTTTTGTGCATGTGGCTTCTAAATCAGTTGTCTGGAGTGGAATTGGTTTTGATGAGCTGTGTAAATTAAGAGAGAATTGGACGCTGTCCCCTTGATGACCTCTGTCTCTGACTTCTTTAAAGAAAAAAAAATAATAATAAAGCAGTCTTTCCCTCCCCATGTTAACATTAAATGTCAACAGCTGTATTTTGCTGCTGGTACTTATTAACTTTCAGCCATGTCTTTTTCAAGCATTTATTGCTTTAGAAATTAATTAAAGCTTATCACCAGGGAAATGTCAGTCTTCCAGCTACCTTGGCTTCTCAAAAGATGTGATTTTTTTCTTAAATAGATTGTTTAAATTACTCACCAGGGAACCTCCTAATTGTGCTATGTTCAGTTCAGATTCTGGCACAGTATTTTTTGTTGTCCATTTTTCTATCTGTTGAAATCCTGTTACAGTCAGTTATTACAAGGAGTAGCTCCATTCTAAACAAAAGCAGATAAAAGTTAACTACTGTGGTTTTAGTTAATCCTTTCACTTTTTCAACTTGAAAGCATTTTTTCACTTGTTTCCCAGCTGAAGCCAGTTGTCCTCATTTCTTGGTACCACACTTTCACTTTGCATCACATCATCGGATAATCATGTAGTTGGCTAGGGAAGTATTATTTATTTCCAAATTTAACCCTTCCTGTCCCATCCTTGTAGCCCTGAAAAGGAAACAGGCTTTTGGGAATTATTTTATTCTATTTTTTTAATATGCCTTCTCTGCAACTTGCATCTCGTTGTAGCAGTCTGTAGCTTTTATATTGGTGGTTTGTTTTTGTGTTTGTTTTGGTTTGTTTTTTGTGGGGTTTTTTTGAAACACGCATAAGCATTTATTGATTAATTCTTCTTTTATATATGCTGGGAATCGTAGGATTTGTTGCAGCATCGTTGCCGTTATCTTGGCCTCATTGGTCCTTTACTGGTGACAGATATGGATAACCCTGGTGTCAGGGGCCTTTCATTTCCAAGTCTGATCCTGAAAGGCAAGGCTGAGAAAAGCAAAAATAGATCTCTGCTGTGATTGCTTCGTAAATAGGCAACTTGTTTTTTTCCAGATTGTTAAATTGGTGGCTGTTACACTGACAAATATAATTAGAGTATGTAAATTATATTGAAAATATTTTTGTCTGTTTGATGTATACTAAATTTAAGCTAAGTTATAAGGTGTGCTGTTTGGAAGTGTGGAAGATACAAGAGTGGAGCTACAGATAACAAGTTTATGCTTGTATTTCCTACTGATGAAGACTTTCACACAAGTTATTTCTATGGGTAGGTGATGAGAATATCACTCTGCATGTATATACATTTATTATACATTTTTGCATGATTATACATGTAGGAGTGGTACAATTTTGACTTGAGACTATTGGTGCCTATTGTCCAAATATAATTTTACTTGTGTAGACATGTCTGTCTAAAATCAAATTTCACTTGAGCTTTTAGAGATCTTAGAAGTGAGAGAAGCAAAGACTTGAAGGAACAGTACATAGCTCCTGAAATTTTAGATAACCCATTGAAAAAATGGTCAAATAGTCAATATTGTACTTGACCCTCGTATCTTCTGCACTCAACTGTTTATTTTTATAGATCACATTATATATGTTCACGCTGAACTCTGATGATAAGACTGAAAGAAAACATGCCTCTCGTGATTCAGTCCAGTCATAGATTCCGCATGTAATTTAATCATCGCTTTCACAAATAATTAACTGAACATCAGCCAGCTGATTTTTGAACTGGGTATTCCATTATATTGTAATTGCCTTTCAAAAAGACAAAGATTGCCTTTCAGTTAATTATCAGGACTTCCTTTCTAGTCATAATCATCAGCGTTTCCCGTTGCGAACAGTTTGGTCTTTAATACATTGGCATGTAACTACCCATTTATTTTTGTTGGGTCTGTTTTAAGTTTGTAATGTAACATTGTTTTATGAAACTGTTTTGGAGACACTTTCTGATCGGAAATATTTTGTGAATTTCTTCATACCTTGTTGCAAAACTGATCTTTAGTAGGACTTAAGCAATATGGGCACTCTTTAATGAAGTGTGTTGCTAATCACAAAATAGCCATTTCTTGAAATAGTGAGTTGAATTATGTTTCAGGGACTAAGTTAAAAAACAAGAACAAGAAGACCCCCCCAAAATCCCCAAGCTAAAAACCTCAGTAGAAACAGCTTTTCAGAGAACTAAAATTTGAGACTTTTATTTCATCATGTTCTTTCTGTCTTCAAGAGGCACTTCACACCCCTAAAAGAAAAGTCTTTTCTTTTTATTCTTTGTGACTTCTAAAGATTTCTTTAGTCATTTTATAACTCTGAAGGTCCTGTTTTTCTAAACACATGATTAGTTTATGATTATTTTACATTATCCCATACAAATTATACCCTCTGTGTATCATACCCATCACAGAAGAGTCCTGCAGACATTGAACTGCCAGAACTTCCTTAAAGTCAACAAACTGCAATAGGAAAGCTGCTGAGGGGGCTTGTTTTTGTATTTCCTACTCATTTTTGAGGGTGAAGTCTTGGCCCAAAGAAAGTTTTGATTCTGTCTTGTGAGGAGTGGGAACTCCAACCACTTTAATCCACTCTGAGTCGAAAAGCTGTAGCTGAGACGAGGCATTTGAGTTAAAATGTGCATCTTTTCGGAATTACAATATTCATGCTTTCTGCTTCCACATTAATCTTTGTCTTGAGTTTAAATTTTTTCTGAGCCACTTCTATTTCTAGCATGCTTTCCAATTATTATATTTTCATTCCTCACAAAGAAAATAGTCCGTCCTAACAAAATAGACTAAAAATAGCTTCTTGTTATTCCTCAAGAATAGACTTCAGAATCATGTAAGCAATTTTCTCTCCCTCTTTCCTCCTTCGCTTTGGTGGCCAAGGGCTGGTAATCATATTGAATTAAAAGCGTATTTATCACTGCACATTCTAGTTTTGTTTCTTGTTATTCTTGTTCTTAAAAAAAAAAACCCAACAAACCACCAAAAAACATTGACATTTTAAATAATTCCCCTGTCCTTGGCAGGTAAACATTATGTAAGGAAAGTTACCTAATGTTAAACTTCTTGTCACTGGATCAGTTATATCAGAAAGTTAGTTTTATTTGGTTGACCCTAGACTAATGTAAACTGTCACTTGAGTTTTGTTAAATTCTCTAGTTAAATAACTTTTCTTGCTGAATTAATGTCCTGTAACTTGCTATTTTTTATTTTGAAGGTTTTATCCTTGTAAGATTGTAAATGTAACGTCAGATATGGAGATGTTTATGTGTATTAATGTGAAAGATAATACACAAATAACTGACACATTGATAAAGTTGTTTTTCTTGCATTTGTGTTTTCTGTGTATGCAAAGGTTAAAATGTCTCTGTAATTTCAGACTGTTTTCATTAATTGAAGTTCAATAATTTGTATAATTTATAGTTCTTTAAGAGTTTCATGTAGGAGATTGTGTTAATCTCTAAACAAATTATTTGTACTTTTAAAGGTGCCTTTCACAGCATGCTGACTTTTAATACGTGTTGCTTTTCTCTCCGTCTGCAGATGGACCTCCAGTTGTAGCTCATTATGATATATCAGACACAAATTCAGACCCAGAAGTGGTAAATGTGGACAATCTGTTGGCAGCTGCAGTAGTTCAAGAGCACCATAATTCTTTAGGAAATCAAGATTCGGGATCTTCCTGGAGAACCAGAGGGCTGCTAGATGAACTGAGCACTGATACAGGTTTGTGTGAATTCTCTTCCTCTGATGCTTGTTCCAGCATCTCAGTTGGTGTCTCTCCCTTTCTTGCTTTCAGTATTTTTGTAATTCATACAGCTTTAAAAGCTCCTTGAGTGGATTTTGCAATAAAACAGTATATAGGTGCTTCTTAAAAATGCGTGACATTTATTCCAAAATACAACTGATAAAAATTGACAGAGATTCCCACAATGTAATTTTTGACACTAATTTTCTTAATTATTTTTCCTCCTTTTCCTTTTAATTACTTCTTGGAACTTAGGCCTGGGGTTTTGAGGGGTTTTGATGTTTTGGTTTTTTTTTTTTTTTAAATGAAAGTGAGCTAAGCTTGTTACTGAATGGTTCATTATGACAACCCATGCCATCAGCTAGTAAACTGATCATCATCTCATTTTAAGTATCGTGTATGTCTGTTTTTGTTTGTATCTTTATTTCTTTAAAATATAAGCATTAATTATTTCCATATTCCATCTGCATTTCTCACATACCTTAGAAAATTGGACAGCATCAGATAAAGATGAAGGGTGAAAAGGTGCTTGTAAGTGAGCTTAGTTAACATCAAGAGATGGCAAAGAAATTTCTTTCAAGGGTAGGAATACTGTGGAAGGATTCAGAGGAGTTCATGTAGCTCAGAAAAAACGTTCAACTTCACTAAGTGCTTACAACTCTTTACTGGCAAAAGAGTTGAACAACAATGTGAAGTGCTGCTGTGTTTTGGATGCAGAGAGCTAACAGAGAGTATTTCCTGTTGACTTCATCCTGTAGCCTTGTGTGCCAATTTATTGCCTTCCTTTCCACTCGTTTTTTTAACGTTAAGATTTTTAGCTGCATAAGACATACAGTTGTGCCTGCAGTGGTAGAGCATAGCAGTTTTTTGTTTCAAGCTGTGTTTTCCAAAAGTAAACCTGCCGAAGGGCACCTACATTGGAAGTGTCCTGGTAGCTCTGAGCTGCTTTTCAATGTCTAAAAGGCTTAAAGAAATACAAGTATGTGGCAGATTTTGAAATAAACGTTCCATTATTGTATAGTGGACAAGTTATTTGAATTGGAGAATCTCTGTTGCATTATTTTCACTGTGGTCTGTGACTGGATGTTGTTCCAGCCTTTTTGAAGCTAGCTAGTGTTTTCCAAGCTGGAATTGATCTGCAGAATCAAAACCTTACAACTCGTTAGAGAGTTATAAAGCAGGTATGTTTTATTTGCCGGCGGGCGACAGGGTGGATCGCTCCATAAAGGCCCTGCGCCCCCACTCTTTTACAAAGGCATTATTTAAAGTACACACACATATGTATTCATTAAATTTAGGATGGGTTAAGGTAATTAGTTCCAAGAAATTTTAACATAAGTTCACTCCCATTCATGCTTGCATACTGCCTCCTGTTGGTGTTTGTTAGCAGCCTTGTAGACTGTTAGACAAAACAAAGTTAACTTTTTGCTTCAGACTGCAGGTGTTGTGTACCAGTTCCTTCTTCTCTTGCTCCAGACTGCTCACACACCAGGCACTGCAAGGCCTTTGCTGATAGTGTGGAACAGCTTCTTAGTTATTGTAAAAGTTTCCCCCTTAACACAGACAAAACAATCTAAACTTAAAGTTTCCCTCCTAACACAGAGACAAAATGAAGCTAAGCTTATTTTCTAAAATCTAATTCTTAATACAGAAAATAAATGAATAAATCTAACTATATTACAGAATCACAGAATCACATAATGTTGGGGATTGGAAGGGACCTCAAAAGATCATCCAGTCCAATCCCCCTGCCAGAGCAGGAACCTAAATGAGATCACACAGGAAGGTGTCCAGGCGGGTCTTGAATGTCTCCAGAGAAGGAGACTCCACACCCTCCCTGGGCAGCCTGTCCCAGGGCTCCGTCACCCTCACTGTAAAGAACTATATATTATATGTTCGCATATCAGAATTGTTTGCAAGATAGCCAGTGACTGATAGTTAGCTATTTGACATCTAACAAGCCCAATCCTTTATTAAGGAATCATTAAATGAATAGAACAGCTGAAATTATTATATAGCACTAATGGATTGGCACTTCAAAGGAGTGTAAGGAAATAAAAAGTGATGTTTCTTACCAACCTTTCTTCCACTTTCCGCTTACGAGTACGATGCTCTGATGCAGGTAGAAATTTGTCTTCCTTCCTCCACCTATATCCAGGGCGACTTGCAAAGAAGAAGGTTGCCAGGTAAAAGAAAACTAGAAAACTTCAATAAAATTCTTCATCCCTGACCCTATGGGAACGTGTCCAGACAGATTTGCTCCAGGTGCTATAGCCATGTCAACGTCTGAAAGGATGAATCTCTTTTTCTTCCTGAAAACACCTTGCCCCAGAGCCCTGCAGCCTCCATACGCTTCTGACTGCACATTTGTCAGTACTGGCCTTTTCTTACCACGTCTGGGATTGCACATTTGGAAAGCAGAATTTTTTAAATCCTACGTCTTTAAATCCTAATTTAATCTTCGGCCAGTATCTAGTTTAACAGCCATTAAATGATGTGTTCCCATGGGAAAATAATAACCTAAGTTTTATCTAAGTGAAAAATCTTATTAGGAGACACTATCACATCTTTGTGGATGGGCAAATATTTGGGGCTGTTTTGCAAGCCCTGATGTTGTAGGGCAAACAAAACATCTCCTTTGGGTTTCATCCTAATGTTCGTGCAAAGAAATTAACAGTGTAGGCAAGTTATTAGGCATGAAATTTCTATGGCCAGAGGCTGTAAATCTATCTGTATGCTATAACTCTGATTTACACTCAACTACTGTTGCAATATTTAGTTGGCTAATCGTTGTTTCTCTACTGCTAATTACCTTTTTGTTGTCTGAACTTAAAGCTATGGTAATATATGAAAGCTGTTTTGGGGCTGCCGTTTATGGAGCTTCTGGGGATTCATTTTGGAGCTCCTGAAGAGCTGGTCTGCTTTGCCCCTCTGCCAGACATTATTACCCTGTCTAGCAAAGGGTGCAGAATGATGGTACGTCATTAATACATTAATGCAACATATTAAGGCAGGTTGATATCCACAGCAGATCCCATGAATCAATAAGGATTGTGTTGCTGTTGTGCTGCCCGTGCTGTAGCAGCAGTGATGTTCAGGAGTGGGGCAGTGTAAATTCTTTTTTGCCTTCTGAGGTGGAAACTTCTCCTTTGGGTACATGGCAGCACACAGGTTCCCTCCTCTTGCTAACCCTGATCAGATGTTGCACCAATGGTCTTGGCTGTCCAAAACCTGAACATACAATATGGTTTCTGCCCCACTATTTGCTTTTATCTTTTCTGAGTGTTTTAAGCAGTTATTAAAAGGTTTCCCTGACACTTGTTTTAAGTTTAATTTCTTCTCTCTGTGTCCTCTTGATCTAGCTGATGGTACAGTCAGTTCTGCATGTTTGCACACCTTTGAAATTCAGTGGATCGTTATTGCATCCTCCTCCTCTCATCTTCGAAGAGGTGTCCAGTGAAACTAGATATACATAATATATTAATCTAATCTCAGATTTCCTGCTTGACAAATTATTCTTCCCCTGTGTAATACAGCTGAGTGAGTGGTTTCTAGGAAGTAGGTAGTCTCATCTGCTTCAGGGCTGCTCAGGATCCCCGAGGTGCCTGCTAAAGAGATACAGTAGAAGTAATCTTTTTTTCAGGGGAAAAAAAAAAAAAAGCAGAAGTCACCTCTTTTTATTGAAATCTTATTTTTTAATTGATTTTTTAAAAGTAGCTTATTTTCCGTAAAACAAATAATAATTTTGGCTGTCCTGTGTTTTCCATGCAAATATTATTTAATATGTCACAACACAGCTTCACTAATTGTGATGAAGGACCTGGTTAGCAGAAAAGGCAGAACTTGCCACACTTGTGAGTATTGAGAGGGGACTCATTTTACAGACCAACGAACTGGATAGCATTGAGGATCTGTAATAAATACCCAACACTGCTGTATGTGGAACTTAATGAGAAACAGATATTTTTTCAAGTATTAGTAGTAATGTCAGAGCAGATGTATGAAGCTGTGTGACTAGAAGCTGATGGGTTTGTTGGGGGTTTTTTTTATTGACTGGCTTCCCTTGTTAAAAAAAAAAATTAAAAATTCATTTTCCTTAGTGTGTGTGATGTTTCTGTCCAGCCTATAGGCTTTTGTTTTCCACAGTATCATTGAGTCTGATCTGCTGACAATAGATTTCCTTGTTTCTTTATTTCAGAGAGGTTTAGGCACAGTCTGCCTCTCAGCATTGTTGTAAAATAACAGCTGGAAAGCCGAATGTCAAGTGTTATTGGTGCGATATTAGGGCTTTGTTCTCATCTGTGTGATGACCCCATCACTAGAGCTGTTGAGATTGGATAAATCCAATGATCATCCTGTATCACGTGATGAACTGAAAGATGGACAAATTGATCTAATAAGATTTACCAGTCTCAGTGTTTCAGTCTTTTTTGTTAACTTGGGAAATTCCTTTTCCAGCTGATTTCTGCGTTGTGTAAGCTGTTAAATGTTGGCTGTATTTTCATTTTCCCCATCTGTAGGTCATTTGGATCCAGGCTTCCTTGCAAGTGACAGAACCTCTACTGGTAATGCCCAGATCAATGAAGAGATTAATATCGCTTCTTCTGATAGCGAAGTAGAGATTGTTGGAGTTCAGGAACATGCCAGGTATTAATTCCTTTTTCTTGCCCTACTATTTCTTTCACTGTATCAGAATATCTGTATTGCTAAAAATTAGTAAAGAAAAAACCTGCTGACTTCCACTTTTGTAGTTATCCATCCATGACTGATGCCCAAAAGGTAGTAAACGTTGTACTTGTTTTTTCTATTCTGCTGATCATGGTGATGTCAGAATATGTTTTCTCTTTAGAATGTTACCAACTTGGTAAGTATTCAGATTAAGCTTGTGATTTGGTATCAAACATTAAAAGGCAAAAAATATGTAGTATTCAAATACAAAATATTGAGATACCAAATTTATATAGATACATAAACAAAAATATGTACGTGTGTTATTGTTTCCTTTCAAAATATTCACTTTAAGCATTTAATCAGCTTCCAGTTTATTTAATTAAGCAGTAGTTGTAAAAATACTATCAACTTTTCAGTGGCTAATGTCATAAGGTAGCCCTTTTAGATTAAAAATCAGATCCTTACGAATCTTGGTCTTATTTCAAGGTACAAGAGAGTTCAAGGCCCCAAAGTCAATCAAGGTGAGGAGGCCAGAGATTTCTGTCAAGCTCAGATAAAAAGCTGTCCAGCTGTGCTTCAGGTGTTATTCTTGATAGGCATTTTTTTATGTTACTCTTCATTTTTAGTCTATGATCTTTCCATGGCTTAAGGTATTATGAAGCAGTTGAACAAGACTGGCATTATCATATAATGTGAGCAAGTTAAAACAGTATACAGACAAGCTCTTTCCAACACTAATCTGCTGTCTGGTGGATGCTTGGAGGCATAAAAGCAGCATGAGAGACAAAGAACAGAGCTGTCTTTCTTGAGGAGAGGAAGAAGGAAGGTGTACAGGAGCCAGTTTCCCAGGCAGGAAGCTGTACAGGTAGTGTGGGCACAATCCAGTGCTGCTGGATGTGAAAAAAGGAAATTTTAAAGTGCTGAAGGAAGAGAGATTTAGTCTTTGCTTTTCGAATAGTGAAAGTCCTGGCATGGCTAACTCCTTTGGAAGATAATTCCTTAGGATGCAGCTCTCCTGGTTGTTTGCCTAGCAGAACCCATGTTTGGAGGATCCTTGTCCCAATGATCATGGAATCACAGACTGGTTTGGGTTG